CCATCATCACCTGCAGACGCGATTGATCGTGATGAAGCAGCCTTCCATTCTCGACTTAGAATCCAACCCGCCTGCTTATCCTGAAAATTGACTAATCATTCCATCGCCTTTGTCACTAACATCAGCAGACAGCAATCGCAGTAGTCCAAGCAGACAAAAACTTACAGGTTTAAAAGTATCTAAACGTAACAAAAGTTTGCAAAACAAGATTATTGAAAATCAGAGAGTCAAAATAGAAACATTAAAGAAAAAACTCCATGCTCTAGCCATGAAAGTACAAAGATTGGCAAGTGATCCTAAACTAGAGACAACTAAACGACCGACACCTAAGCAACTTCAATTCTATAGAAGGAAAATAGATGTTCAACGCTTCTTAGAAAAAGACGAAAATAGCAAGTTATGTCCTGGAAAGAAAGATACTATGACTCGTGGAGGCAAAACTAAACAGAAGCGCTATTTGTGTGTAAAAATACAACTCTAAGACTGAAAAGCAAATCAGTTACACAACATTTACAAGGTGTTAACAGACCATTTTGGATTACTGCACAAAAAGTTTCAGAAAGAGATACATGCGCTTGCTATTTTCACGAAAATTTCAAGATAGTTGTTGAAAGGTTAAGGCAGCTTAATATTATACAGGAAAAAACAGCCAAAGACGTATGTGATGCAGTTACTTGTAACTCTTATAACTTTAAATGTATGATGAGACAATGCAATATATGTTTGTACAAAACTTTGAACGTCATACCGTTTGATAACTCTGAAAAAATCACATATCATAAATGGATGACCATAACGGAAACACGAACGATTAAAGGTAAAGAAAAAAGTATCCACCGGACAGTTAAAAACTCAATTGAATGTGCCAAAAAGGAGTTGGTTGAGCAGCTATATGATTGGCTACCAAATTACCCAAAACATGTTTTTACCATCTCGCATCAGTTTAAAGCAATGTCGCACATTAAAGAGACACTAGCGCCAAGTGAAGCAGTACTTCATATTGACTTCTCCGAGAATTATCAGTGCAAATATGCTAATCTGAGTGCAAATATGAGGTCCAATCTGTTCACTTCGGAGCTTCTAGACAACAAATCTGCTTGCACACATGTGTCTTATATCACTATAGAGATAATCTTGGGGTCATACCGACTTCTTTTTGTTCAGTATCGCAATGCTTACGCCATGATGCTGCAACGGTGTATGCCCATTTAAAAAAGTCATTGAGAGAAGTAATCAGTCATCACAATTTACATATAGAAGTACTGCATATTTTGAGCGATGGTCCATCAGCTCAATATAAAAATAAAACGATTTTTTTCTTATTTACCCAACACTTAGTGATTGATCTGGGGATCAAATTCGCGTCCTGGAATTTTTCTGAATCGGGGCATGGGAAAGGACCTGCAGATGGCATCGGTGCAACCATTAACAGAACCGCCGATTAACTTGTAGCTCAAGGACAGGACATTCCGGATTACATCACATTTCTTACCAAAATAACTCAATATTCTTCACAACATAAAAATCATGAATGAACAAGACATGTTCAATAATAATCTTCAAATTGACTTTACCGATTACTTCGAGATACACATTATTCACTGCCCGAAGTGACATATCACATGGCACAATATCGTGACGGAGTTCATACGCGGCACGATCCGAAATGACCGAAAATGACGCACCAGTATCAACGAGTGAAATAAATTTTCTATCACGACACGACACTTTAATAAATGGTTGAAACTCACGTGCGTATAATATATTCTTTAAACGAGGCGACTGCTTGTCCTCTGCTATCACTTCTATCGCCTCTGCTGCTTTTGTGTGGCTTTCACTATTCTTCTTAATCATCATTGGCTGCGGCTTTGTATTATTTCTTGGTCTGAAATTATAAGGGCGGGGCATCATCTGATCGGGAGGTGGGATTTTATGAGGGGTGAAAGATGGAGAACTAAATGTTCTAGTGGGTCGAATCGACGTTGAAAGTCGCTGATCTCCTTGTCCGCCTTGTGTGCTAGAGGAAGGAAGAACATCTACAATATTTGTTATTTTTATAGGTAAATTAATGTCCGCTTCTCCATCCCCTCTATTATAAATTTCTTTCAATTGTTTAATCACGTCCTTCAACTGTTGTTTATTCGAATACAACTGCGATCCTAAACGCCCTTTGGTTTGAAAATTTGCTGCCCCAAGAAAATGCTGGATGAAGCATTTATCATCAACTGCCGCCCCTGCTTTATATCCTAAATAATCTAACGAATAAAAATAATTGAGTGGGTCCTCTGTTGCACCCTGTCTTCTAGCAAAAAATTTTGCGAGAGGATTTGCAGTTGAAGAGAACTCTTCGCTAATTTGTTTCTCGAGTTCCTGAAAATTCTCACAATTGTCTTTTATTTTATTATAAAATAACAGTGCAGGTCCCGCTAAATATGCCGCCAACACTATTTTTTTAGTCGATTCTTGATATCCGTTTGCTGCTGCTATAATATTAAATTGGGAAAAAAAATCAGCCACATCACCTTTTAATCCGTCGTATTTCTCCATTATTTCGTTTTTTCGTTTTTTCGTTTTTCGCTTTTATGTTTTCTCGCTTTTATGTTTTCTCCGCTTGGCTTACGAGAGGTATCGCTGTATTTCGAAACGTTGCGCCTCCACCATGTGGCGACTTATGGCAACTTAGTCTAATGGTGGAGGTGGGTGGCGCAATGAAAAAACTGGTAGCACTCCTTAGTCTTGATTTATTTCTGATAAGAATTACATTTAATCACTTACAATAATTATACTACGATGCTCACCCTAAGCTGGTCTCGATCAGAAAAAAAAGACTATTCACCAGCAAAACACGAACACGCGAATTCGAATATAAAAAAGTAATAATTTAAAATATTAACGGCCAGCACTTGACCATAAACCGTCCGAAGAGTAAACCCTACCTATAGTAATGTGCTCGGACGTTAATTAATGACATAGTTAACATTACTACATTTCCAATGATATTGTATGCAGACGATAGCACCGTATTTATAAAATGTGAAAATATTGCAAGTTATGAATACCATATTAACACAGCTATCAGAAATATTATTAAATGGCTCGAGTTAAACAAATTAAAAATAAATCTAGATAAAACCAATTTGATGCAATTTACACAGCGGAAGTATACTCCAAATTTATCTGTTAGTTATAATAACAAAATGATTAATGAAACTAAAGTTGCTAAATTTCTAAGTATTTTAATAGATAGTAATATGTCATGGGAATCGCACTCCACTGTGGTATGCCAGAAATTATATAAGTTTTCATTTGCATTGTACAAATTATCAAAAATAGCTGACCAAAAAAACTGTACTAACGGCGTATCATGGTTTCGTAGCGTCAATTTTACGGTATGGTATTATATTTTGGGGACTTTCAACCTACAGAGAAGTATTGTTGAAGTCCCAAAAACAATGTATTAGAGCAATTTGTGGATTGAAGAACACGGAGAGCTGCGAGCCATATTTTAGGTCTTTGAATATATTAACTTTACCATGCTTGTATGTATTTAGAATGCTGTATTTTTTAAAAGAAAAATGCAGAGCTATTCAAAATTAAGGAACAACAGAATCAATACACACTTCGTCCTCGGAAACCTCAGATCTGTACAAGTATTTGTAAAACAGCTCTCATGAAGAGAAGTGTCATTGAAATGGCTCCTAGATTGTATAACAAGCTTCCTGAACAAATTAAACATTACAATATAATTAAATTTAAAAATGTTTTGACGAAACTATTAGTAGATAAATGTTATTATAATATGAATGAATATTTTTTGGATAATGATATACAAACAATATAATATGTATAATTTAATATGAATGAAATGTTATAAAGAATATTTAATTCCTTAAGTAAGATTGTGCTCGCATTATAAATAATGTCTATAACGTATAATTTATTTTTTGACAATCATGGCATTTAATTAATTTTAAGAAGATTTGCATGCTGTTAATAAAACCAAAAACATGTTGAACTTTAATAATACCATGACAACCTTATGTACCATGTTTTCAAGGCACAGTCAGAAAATGATAAAACGAAATATAAAATACTGCATCCTTATAAATGAAATGTTAGTTTTTAGATGTTTTTCAGACGGACTGAATAATAATCGTATTAGTATAATATTAATTGCTAGAAATTTGAAATATTTAAAAGGTGCTATACAAGCAGCGTTAGATGAGAATAGTATGTTATATAATAGCCAAAACAAATGTCTTTAAGTCGAGAGGTAATTCTCAAGGTGTAAATATTAATAAAGTTATGAATCATTTAAATAAATCGAGAAAGCAAACGAGGTCCGATTTAGATTTTAGAGTTTCACGTGATAAGCAAACACGTATATAGCTGAAGAGTAGCTATGTAGCTTTAAAACATAGCTACTCTTCAGCTATAGATATAGCAGAAAGTACATTAAGAGTAATGAAACCATTACTGAAGAAAATAAACGACGCTGCGTTGAAAACAAAAAATATGAATCTATTCAACGTGGGGCAGACTCTTCAGAAAGTGATGAAGGAATTCTTTCTATACATGAAAAGTCAAAGAAAGGACTTGACCAATTGTTCTTACAATACTTTCGGGGAGTGGTATTTAAACGAAGGATTATCCACGACGTATGGGAGTGTCCAATCGATGCGTTGGGAGAACGATTTAGGGACGCAATTATTCGACCATTACAGCTCAGCATTAATGGAGCTCGAAGAACGTCAAGAACACATGGACGATGCGGGGGAGTAGAATATTCAATACCGGGAATCTTTATCATCGCCGAACATGAGAAGCACTTGCATGTCATCCACGATTGTGCATACTCCGGATCAACATGCCGGTGTCTCCACATCCAAAGGATTAGGGACTTCATTACAGATGCATACACCGCAGAAGAAATTGAAAGATGGGCCAATAGTAAACAGTGACGTTCCAGAAGGAGAAGTCTCACTTTTCAAAGCAAATCAATGGAATCAGAAGAGAGCATGGACGAAACTCCGAACGACGAAGACTTTTCCTCTATGGTCGCCAATCATGCCCGAGCTCACTCATTAGTCACGAGTACTGAAAAAATCTCTCAATCTATCTTAATAAAGGAAGACGATGGATATATCAATATATTGTCGCCAGGAGAGGGTGGATCGATGGTTATAAAACTAGAGCTTTACCCTTTCAAAGAGTGTGTAAAACTCAACAAAAATCAATATTGGACGAAGCGAATATATTTGTGTCTAGGAGTGACCTCTGGAGAGGATTCGCGTGCATACAAACTAGCGATGAAACTAAGATACGAACTGACAAGACTGGTAGATTTTAGGGTTTAGGTTTTACCTATTCGATACAATCGTGTCCCATCACTCGTGATACCTTCCTACCTCCGTGCCTTTTTATTATCTGAAGTCCTTGGGGGTAATCCGAGAATATCGTAACCTCACTTCCGCAATCGCAGCCGGGTCGAGCAGACGTAGCTCCCAATATATAAAAGCTGAGAAGTCAAGTATCACGGCGATCGACGCGTTTGTCTCGCGAACAAGTGATATAGAGTGTGGTGCACCACTAGGAAATAAGACGCGCGTCCAGAACATCCAGCACGCTGGGACGTAGTGAACCAGGTACGCCCCCATCCTTTTCCTTGTGATTCACCAAAGACAAATAATGAATCTAAAGGATGTCAAAGTAGAGAAAAAGGTACAAACAGGTTGGAAAAGTTTCTAGAATCATTTATAATTACACCAACAAAAAACATATTATATACAGAACATTGGACACAAGGACCATTTAAATATATGCCTAAAAATAAAGCAATATTGACAACATGTTTCCATAATATAAATCAAAATGTCGTCGATTTATCATACAGCGAAATATTTTTAAAGTCAAGAAAAATATCAATGAATAAACTGATATACGTTGCACCGTGGAATAATGTTGGAGAATATTATTACAATATTTCTGATTCAGTAAAAATTGTGGAAGAATGATTCAATTTTCAATTTGACAATAATAGTGATTGGATTTTTACATTTTTGAAAAATATATATTATTTAGTAGATAAAAAAGTACCAAAAATGAATAGTATATGTATAGTAGGACCACCAAATTCAGGAAAAAAATACTTTTTTGATTGTTTGATTCATACATGTATTAACTATGGTCAAATCGGAAATTTTAATAAATATGACAGATTCCCATTACAAGATGCAGTTCAACGAAGAATTTTATTATGGAACGAACCAAATTTCGAACTAGGATTCGAAGAAATTTTAAAATTATTATTTGGAGGAGACACTTGTCCAGCAAGAATTAAATATGAAGGTGATGCCAGTGTACAAAGAACACCAATAATTGTTTTATCTACGAGTAACAATGATGTGATACCAAATACACCTGCATTTACTAGTCGAGTCTGGAAATATCATTGGAAGCAAGCTGAATTTAATTTAAAGTATATAACTAAAATACGTCATCCTTTTTGTTTATTTTATATTATGTTAAAATATAATATTCTTAGTCGTAAGAATTTTCATTTTGAAAAGTGGGAATTAAATATTATAAACAATGAAAAGAAATAAATATGGTTTTATAAATATATTTCCTGTTTTATTGATAAAATGGTTTACATTTTCCTTATCACTAGGTTTAATTCAGTGATGGCCCAAAGTTAATCTGATTAATGATTAAAAATTATTGATTAAAAATCATAATCAAAAATTTTGATTAAGATTAGTTAATCATAATCAAATTTAAAATGATTAAGATTATTAATCATAATCATTAATCGTTAATTTCTTGTTTGATTAACTATAAATATGTATGCATCAAAGTTGTTATTGACTCGCCGTAAAGAAAATCCTTCTTTTAACACTGTTTTTTTCCAAAAATTACAAAGTTAGACAAACACTTAATTAATGGTTCCATTCGTTCATTTTTTGAGTCTAGGTTTAAATTGCTAGCTGTCTTACTTCACGTTAAAGCGTTTTAATGTGACAGACAAAGACAAAACTAGTTTTAGCAGTGTGTTTGCGCTCGAAATATGGGCATTTTCACAACAAGTTTTTTTTTGTGATCTAGTGAAAATAATTTTTTTTCGGCGATTTGACAATGTACAAACTATTTTTTATCTTACATTTATACAATTGTAGATTCAGCAACTACATATTGTACCCTTAACATCATAAAAAAAAATTAAATGGACATTTACAGTCGAAATATCACGACGACGTGGTGTGTGACAAATCCATTTTTTTAAATATTATGCTATATATTTCTCTTTCCGAGAACGTTTGATACAAACTAATATATATCACATAATTATCGATAGCCGTTCAATCTATAATAATATGACAGCAAATAGAATAATTATTTATTTTCGATTCAGCAGCTTGGATAATTTTGTGAAAATTTTATTTGTCACACACGTGCTCCTTTACGTTTTTGCGCGAAACTTATCCCAAATATAATTTCTTGCAGTGGCAACACTGGTAATAAAAAAAGTAAGCCTCGGCCATTTTGTCTGTGCCATCAACGAAAGTTAGATGTGATTAGTGTGCAAGGTAAGCAAATTTTTGTTTCATAAATTGCCATAACCGTGGAAACCATAACCCATACAAAACGTGGACATCATTAGCGGTTGAATTTTAGGTTTTTAAATTAAATATTGTTAATTATGTATGGAAACAGAGTAAATTTACAGCAAAATGAATGTCACGAGCCAAGCGCAACTTTGAGGTTAGCTTTTGATGGCCACGTTCTAAAATAATCACAAACGTGGATAGTTAAAATCATCACAAACGTGGATTTCAAAAAAAAAATTTAGCCACGTCTGTGACATTTTTCCATGTCTGTGAAATTTAATACCGATTTATCAACTATAAGTTATCACAAAACAGTCATTTTATCTAATTTACTCGTTCTTTTTAGATGCCAAGAAAAAAAACTGTAAGGACGGCAGACGAAGTAAGGAAACAAAAAAAAAGAGGCTGAAAGACGAAGACGCGAGAGAATTAAGGCAGATCCGATAAAAAATAAAGAACATAAAGCAAAAGAAAAATTAAGGCGACAGAGAAGAAAGGCTTTGAAGAAGGATTTATGTATTGCAGACTTGTCAGAAAGAGGTAAACGATTTCAACGTAAAAAATGGCGTGAACGAGCTCAGAAAAGTAGGGAGAGTAAAAAAGTGAGAGAAGATATGTTACGACGTCTGCGAGAAGATTCACCACCATCATCACCTGCAGACGCGATTGATCGTGATGAAGCAGCCTTCCATTCTCGACTTAGAATCCAACCCGCCTGCTTATCCTGAAAATTGACTAATCATTCCATCGCCTTTGTCACTAACATCAGCAGACAGCAATCGCAGTAGTCCAAGCAGACAAAAACTTACAGGTTTAAAAGTATCTAAACGTAACAAAAGTTTGCAAAACAAGATTATTGAAAATCAGAGAGTCAAAATAGAAACATTAAAGAAAAAACTCCATGCTCTAGCCATGAAAGTACAAAGATTGGCAAGTGATCCTAAACTAGAGACAACTAAACGACCGACACCTAAGCAACTTCAATTCTATAGAAGGAAAATAGATGTTCAACGCTTCTTAGAAAAAGACGAAAATAGCAAGTTATGTCCTGGAAAGAAAGATACTATGACTCGTGGAGGCAAAACTAAACAGAAGCGCTATTTGTGCGATACTTTGGAAAATTTACATAAAAATACAACTCTGAGACAGAAAAGCAAATCAGTTACACAACATTTACTAGATTTAGACCATTTTGGATTACTGCACAAAAAGTTTCAGAAAGAGATACATGCGCTTGCTATTTTCACGAAAATTTCAAGATAGTTGTTGAAAGGTTAAGACAGCTTAATATTATACAGGAAAAAACAGCCAAAGACGTATGTGATGCAGTTACTTGTAACTCTTATAACTTTAAATGTATGATGAGACAATGCAATATATGTTTGTACAAAACTTTGAACGTCATACCGTTTGATAACTCTGAAAAAATCACATATCATAAATGGATGACCATAACGGAAACACGAACGATTAAAGGTAAAGAAAAAAGTATCCACCGGACAGTTAAAAACTCAATTGAATGTGCCAAAAAGGAGTTGGTTGAGCAGCTATATGATTGGCTACCAAATTACCCAAAACATGTTTTTACCATCTCGCATCAGTTTAAAGCAATGTCGCACATTAAAGAGACACTAGCGCCAAGTGAAGCAGTACTTCATATTGACTTCTCCGAGAATTATCAGTGCAAATATGCTAATCTGAGTGCAAATATGAGGTCCAATCTGTTCACTTCGGAGCTTCTAGACAACAAATCTGCTTGCACACATGTGTCTTATATCACTATAGAGATAATCTTGGGGTCATACCGACTTCTTTTTGTTCAGTATCGCAATGCTTACGCCATGATGCTGCAACGGTGTATGCCCATTTAAAAAAGTCATTGAGAGAAGTAATCAGTCATCACAATTTACATATAGAAGTACTGCATATTTTGAGCGATGGTCCATCAGCTCAATATAAAAATAAAACGATTTTTTTCTTATTTACCCAACACTTAGTGATTGATCTGGGGATCAAATTCGCGTCCTGGAATTTTTCTGAATCGGGGCATGGGAAAGGACCTGCAGATGGCATCGGTGCAACCATTAACAGAACCGCCGATTAACTTGTAGCTCAAGGACAGGACATTCCGGATTACATCACATTTCTTACCAAAATAACTCGGGAGAGACTAACTGGGAACCCAGCAATTAAAGGATAATATTATTGTGAGCCAGGAACCGTCTACATCAGTTGTTTCTCAAGAGTTTACTGTTGGCATGGAGTTGTCATTATTGACAATGGTTTGGTCATCGCTGTTGTTATAATTGTAAAGGCTATAAAATATTTCAATGAATATATTGTTGGAAGAGTTGGATCGCCGGGCTGCATACTATAAATTCGACGTCTAGCGCATGAAGATTAGTGGAAATTTATTATTAACGTATCGAAAGTTTATCACATTTATTGGTGGAATTAAAGGTGATTATGGATTGTGGTACAGTTTTAAGAGTTATTTAAGGAGATAGAATGTTTGGTAAGTTTACAAAAGTTAGAAAACATGGCCGATTTAAAAACAGCGCTTACATTGTTGCCCGTAGTGGCCACAGATGAAGGTCAAATTAATCAATTTATAGATGGGTTAGAATTCCACAGTGGTTGTTGAAAAAGAGACGATTAGGGCTATACCTTTGTAAACTTTGTATTTTTTTAACACACGCGTCTTTCTAGTAAAGCAAAGATTAGACTAAATGAATCATATCGTCTGTGGTAGATTTAGTAAGAGATATAAAAAAGTATTTAACGCTAGTTAAATCGTATAACGCAATTTTATCTAAGCTGTCAAAATGTCAGCAGGAAAATAAGTGTGTAGAGAGTTTTGGGAGTGAAATCGAAAAATTATTTGCTGATATCACAATAACTCAAATCGATTGAGATATAACAGTAGGGTGATTCGAGGAGAGATAGCTATCGAATTAATTTAATATCTTAGTACCAGAGGGCAGCACTCTAATAAGACAGTTCGGCAGCAGCTATCCTAGCGGTGACACTGTGTCGAGAGTTAGGAAAAAAAAAACGGATAAAAAGTGAGTAGAGTTACCGAATCTCTAAGAACATTGAAAGCGACTGCTTCAAAGGCAGGCATGTTCATGAACGAACAAAACGCAATTCAAGAAAAGGACTTTGTAACTTTTTTGAAACAATTGTATACTTTCACTTTTTAAACGGTTTTTCAACGACACACATCTTTTATTTATCGCTCCCAAAATTACGTAAAAAAATCCAATAGCTAAAGCCACGAACAACTAAAACCAAGTACCGGTGGTCGCTACCCGGCACATCCTGTTTATTTATATAGCAGATACAATTATTTTTAGAGGCGTTGAGTAATCAAACTGTTCACGTAGTTAGGTTTCTGTTTTGTGCCGTTATTTAACTTAAATATTAAAAATGTGTATCAGCTCACAACATAACCTCAAAACTGTTGTTTAAATATCTTTTATTTAAATTAAAAAATTGGTAGTGGCCATCTCTCCTATGTGTTTTAGGAGTGACAGCCTACATATTTTGAGGTGAGATGGCTACTTTTTGGTCATATTTTACTGCCAAGTAGAAAGTGATTTTTGGTGTTATGGTGGTGCTTATGATGGTTCAAGTTTTTTTTTTTATTAATATAATATTTTTATAATATTTTAAATACCTTTATTGTATTTTTTTAATTAATTATTTTATATCACAAACTCATCTGACTTCAAATAAATTGACTGCAAATGCTTGTACTTGTAACATATATCAGACTTTTTTTTTTATTTAGAATAAGTTATAATTAAATGTATTAATATGTGGCAGTACTATATATAAATAAATAAATAGTAATATTTCAGTTCGGAAGGCTAGTTTGGAATACGGCGTGCTGCGAAAAACTTTAGAGAGGCGTCTAAAAACCAAAATTTTCTTATAAGGTACAATGGATCCTTCATCCGTTTTTGGAATAGAACATGAGAAAAGATTAGTTCGACACATTCTTAAAATACAAAAGAATTGTTTCCCACTAACACCAAAAGATTTACGAAGCATTGTGTTTTATTTTGCCGAACAATTAGGCCTAAAACATTCATTTAATAAGGACACAGAAGAAGCTACGTACGATTGGTTGCAACAATTTTATCAAAAGAAACCCCGAAATAAGTACCAGAAAAGTATGAACTATTTGACAAACCATCTAACATTTTCAACAAGGATGAATCGGGACTTCAATTGAATAACCGACCCGGTCATGTACTAGCAAGAAAGGGTTCAAAAGCAGTGTCTACTGTAACTTCTACAGAAAAGGATGAAACAATTACGGTCATTGGCTGTTGTAAAGCATAGATTTTTGTTTATAAAATGAATGAAAGACCATTACTTCAAATCAGAATAATCGAAGAATTACTAAGAGAAAATGAAGAGAGTGAATCAGAGCTCAGCGACCAAGTCTCTGAAACTTCCGATCACATCATTTCAGGGGAACCGCAGTCTCCTGAAAGAATCACTTTCGGAGTCAGATGAAGATGACTTCTTTCAGAAATAAATAGTTATTTCACAGGACGCTTAACGAAATGTCAAATATCTAACAACAACTGAGATCGGCGTCAAGTATTCTTACTGAAGATGCGGGTACTCGTAGAAATGATGTGGGAATAACAACATATATGCAGGCCTGGAGTTTATTTATTTGTAAGAACATTATGGAAAAAAATGTTAGACATACCAACGTATTTAAAAAAAAAAGCGCCATCTCACGACAGAATACGTGACTGCAAACAGACAGATGCGGTGGAAATTCGAGTTCTTTTGGAAATGTTGTGGTGTATTTTTTCTACTACTATGGCAACGAAAAGAGTAAAATCTCTACTCAACTCATTTCGGTTTGATGATGCTACTACGCGACTATCTCGTAGTACTCTGGACCAAGCTGTCTTTTATCGTATTCAATGGGAGAGAATGTTGTATCGATGAGATGATAACAGGAATTCATGGAAAATGTCCTTTTCGACAACACATAAAATCAAAGCCAGATAAATACGGAATAAAACTTTATCCACTAGTAGACGTTTTCAACATTGAAGTATATGCTGGCATGCAGCCAGAAGGTCTATACCAGTTGAGTAACGCTGCGGCAGACGTAGTGAAGAGGTTAATCTTACCGCTTTCTGGCACCGGAAGAAACCTAACCATAGTTAATTGGTACACCAGTGTGTCTTGTCGTGTGGTAAAATCATTTACCACGGATCATAAGATATCTGTTGTGAGTACCATGCGAAAAAACAAAAAAGAAATACCTCCTTCCTTTATAGATAAAAACCAGCTTAAATATTCAAGTCAATTTTTAATGAAAGAAGGAAGTAATAAGAAGTATAAAAACGTTAGCTCTTCGATTTTCGCAAAATGAAGCTTTACCACGTTTATGTGTAACTAGCGGGGCAAAAAGAATCTCAGCTAAGGAGCTAATTAGTGTTATTCTTAATGACTATCGTTTGTTGCCTACAAGTGGTCACGTATGTGTTACTAAAATAAATAATAATATAAAAAAAAGAAATATTTTTGGCATAATTTTCTTAAAGATATAATTGAGTATGTGAGTCGTTGTAAAGATTGACAGAGACAAAAATGTTGAAAAAAGATTAGCATAACAACCACAGCATCTGCTTCTTTTGCAAATATTTATCTAGAAGTAGAACGTGTAGGAAATAAAAACATTTTAAGATTA